GCACCAGGGGCAGCTCTGGGACATCTCTGGAGCAGCTCCATCCAGTGCACAGCAATTCCCATTCTGAGTTGGGCACACACTCTGCAAAAAGAAAGAGGTGTTTTTCCTGATCACAGAGCTACACCAGTTGTTGCACTGACAATATCCTATAGACTATCTGCATGAATCTAAGGAATGCTTGGTAGTGTTATTAATGTGCGTATAATTTATTACGCTAAATTAGGCTTAACATAATTATCTAGGTAATTAAAAGTAAAGGATGAAGTTCTCCCACATTCTTTTCTTCAGCGTTTTCCGTAACACAGCATAACCACATGCACCCATATTTTTGCCATGGATGCTCCATGCCATCAGCACATACATGAAGGGAAATCTCTGCTAAACAAACACCCCTCGGTCCCCAGGTGGAGATCCTAACCCCACCCAGAGATGGTTCTATGACAACAGAACTTCCCAGGGCCAAATGGGCACCTCATCACATTGATGTGTTAGAAAGATACGGGAAAGTTCTGCTTTTCTCCTGGTTTTGTTAGGTGGGTGAGACTTACGAGGAACCAGTAGCCCCAACTGGCAGCAAAGGGAGAGTCACCATTTGCCACACAGAACGGCTTGGGTTGGAAGTGACCTCAAGGATCATGAATCTCCAACCCCTCCCACCGCAGGCAGGGCCACCAACCTCCACATTTCATACCAGCCCAGGCTGCCCAGGGCCCCATCCAACCTGGCCTTGAACACCTCCAGGGATGGACGGGGCATCCACAGCCTCTCTGGGCAGCTGTGCCAGCACCTCACCACTCTCACAGTAAAAAACTTCCCCCTGACATCAATCCTAAATCTTCCCTCAACTTATAAACCATTTCCCCTCGTCCTGCAGTTATCTACCCTTTCAAAGAGTTGATTCTCCTCCTGTTTGCAGGCTCCCTTTAGGTACCACAGCCTTCTTTTCTCCATGCTGAACAAGCCCAGCTCCCTCAGCCTGTCTTCATATGGGAGGTGCTCCAGCCCCCTGATCATCCTTGTGGCTCCTCTGGACCCTCTCCAACAGCTCCCTGTCTTTCTTGTACTGAGGGCTCCAGACCTGGACACAGTACTGCAGATGGGGCCTCATAAGAGCAAAGTAGAGGGGGACAATCACCTCCCTGTCCCTGCTGGCCACCCGTCTGCTGATGGAGCCACCTTCCAACAGTGCAACAGCTGTGCAGAAAGGAGAAGGCACAAGTATGGGCAAACTCACTGTGTATGGGCACTCTACAAGATAGGCCCATGGCTTGGTTGCTGCCTAAAGCTGCATTATACAGAGGACAGACAGACAGACAGACGCCTCCTGCGTGAAAAGGCAAAACCTTTCCTTGTGAAGCCCTGTTGCTCTGCTGTTTGCTGGCAACAAAGGCACAAGTCCAGCCCCAGGCAGAGCAGTTCCAAATAAACAAAGGCCAAATATTGGAAGGCACCAGCATGCGTGGCTCTCACTTGGAACAAAAGGAAGGAAGCTGGGTATAAATACTGGGAGGAGCATTGTGCACTGCAAGGCTGAGAGATGGGAAACTATTCTGCAACAGCAATGCCTAAGCATGCTGGTGTAAGTTCTCAGCAAGAGGACAAGGAGACTTTGGGTTTGTTTTCGGCTAGGATGAAGAGTTGGAACAGAGCTGGTGCAGGTGGTGGTCAGCCAAGCCTTGGCAAGAGTGTCTTCTATAGAGCCTCAGCCTCTTCAAGCAGACAGCAGAGCAGCAAGCCAGGTAAAACATAGCTTCAGGTGCTCACCTTTCAGCTCGAGGTGGGGCTGGCGAGGGCTGTCCCTCCCCACCTGCTCTTTCAGTTGGTGAGGCATGGAAAGAAAGCAAATCCCTGACACACAAACCCCTCCCTGCAACAGCATTAAAGGAGGATGGCTCCTTAAATCACAACAAGCAAATAGGAAAGAAAACCAACACCTCAGGGCATGGAGGTGGGAGAATAAGGCTTCAGAAGGGTGGCAAAGGCAGAACCGAGCTGCCAAGAATGACTTCAGCAGGGCTGGGAGGCAGCTGCCCCAGCACTGAAGGTGGACCAGCAGATAGCATTCAGCTGAGGAATGTGGTTCCTTCAGCCCTCTGCAGATCAGCAGGGGTCACACAGCCCTCAGCAGGACCACAGCTGGGCAGATACCTAACAAGCAGAACAATCGATGCTCCTGTTCCAGGAGGTTAAGCTCTCACAGGTCAGGAAAGAGTACTTCCCATCCATACATCACTTGTGAGCACCTGATCCCACCTCTCTCCCCTTCACAGCTGCCAACCTGCATGCCATGCTCTCAAGCAGCAGCACAGAGGCTTTTTCCTCCATCTGCACTGTGTATCTGTGTATTGCTTCCGATAGCAGCACACGAGATAAACAAGAGCAACAACCCATTGTTCTGGCTGCAAGCTTGTTATGTAATGGTTGGCATCCCTATTTCAGCTTTTTGGAAAGGAGAGAGGGGGAAAAAAAACCCAAATCATTCCTATTTCAGGGCAGCTTTCCCTACTGCAGACAACACTCAATGAGGAAAGAACAAGCTGCACAGCCTGTTAAGTCACTCTAAAGCTGCTGCTCCACGTGTCCCACTGCCACCTCTGCCCAGCTTGCCTCAGCCCACCAAAGAGCCTGGTCAAGAATATGACCAATCCATACTGATGAGTATTTTGCCTGGATGCCATCATTCCATGCCATGAACAGCTCTGGTCGTTAAGCACACAAAGAAATCCAAAGGTCTGGAATGACTGTGGATACTGCAGAGCATGAAGGCATGGGGGGGCATAGAAAAAGGAAGGGTGGGGTGTCAGGATGCATGATATAAGTAAGATACTTGCACTTAAACAGCATTCAGTAGCTTTTGTAGTTAAATGATTCATCTTCCCAAACACTTGGGGCATTTGCCCTGTGCCAGGTGCCAAGCAGCAGGCTGGAGCCCAGCTCCAATTCACAGCTGATAGCACTTCTTCTGTCATGCTTTTTTCTCCTCTAGCCAATGTATCCCCTCGGTTCATGTTCAGCTGTGTTCTGGTAGCTACTTTCAAAAAAAAAGAATAATAATAATTACAGAGTTTCCCATGATTACTTTTCCTGATATGGTAGAGCATACAGAGATACAAGTGCTGACATGTTTAACTAGGTGTGTAATTAATGGTTCCTTGTAATCAAGCTATTTCATCTAGCACAGTTACACCAGGTTACGATCAAGTGCAACCTTTGCTGTGTTCAGTCAGATTCAGTTCTTTACTTGCACGGAACATAATCCTTCCAAGTCATTAATGAAAGTGAGAAACTGAACATAAGCAGAAAGAAAAGAAAAAAAAAATCAGGAACAAATTTCCCACCTTGGTACTGTAAGGAGTTTTTAAAAAGATCCTATCTGCATGGTTTCCTTTTTTTTTTTGTGACCATTTCTGATCCAGCAGCCCCAGGACCTGCAGGACATCAGGCAGAACACAGCCAGTCATTATAAGGTCCCACTCTTTCCCACCAAAGCTGACAGTGCTTAGGTTTATTCTGTATATTTGGTGTCGTGAATGCAATCTCAAATTCTCCCACTCTGTGTTTACCATCAGTTTATTAGACGGGGAGCAGGAATGGGATGCAGAGGACCAGGCTGGCACATCTGATACCAGGCAGCACTGCTGTGTATTGGCACACAGCCCAGACAGATTTAATTTCACTCAGTTTCATACAGACTCGCTCACAGCATACATATTGAGGACATTCATTAGAGGAATGTTTGTTGCTCTAGCAGCCCAGACACCTCCCACCCCCTACTCATAGGACTAAACTAATTAGCAGTGATCATTCTTGTGCCCCATTGGTCATTAATCTATAGACCAAAGAACTGCAGCATCTGGTGCCTCTTTTTTTTTAATTATTTTATTTAAACCTGTTGTACCTTCACCCACACACCATTCAGCAGAACTTCAAAGTGAATTATCTATTCCACCTACCTCCAAAACGTGAGCAAACTGCCTCACCTGCTGTTGGGCTCCATTCAGGATGACTGACCTCCAAAGATGGAGATTTTATGGGAAACCCCAGATGACAGAGAGTAACTTTTGAAGAAGCTTAAGATGCTGGAGCAGGTTTGAAAAATTACCATTCAGAACAGCTGAGTCACCAATTATTTCAGGACATCCTCTATAGTCAAACTATTTCCAATCCAGGTAATTTTAACACCTTTTTTCTCTTTTCCTCCCACTGGATATAAAAAAAGAATAAATCAGTAACATGACAAAACTTCCTGGCACCCATCTCCCATGGATGTACTGCTTATCTGCCTGTTTTTTGTAACCAAAGTACAAAAAAAAATATGGGTGCTTATTCTTTTCCCTTACGAAGATAAGAAATGCAGACACCTGAATGACACCATTTTTTTTTTTAAAGACTTTCAATATTTATAATAATTTTTGCAACACAAGTAAGAAGATTTATACAATAAAATTTTTTAACTGAAAATACTTTTTCACAACATTGGAGCAAGCAGTGACTGCCATGTGTGCACTCTGGGGTACGTTGCTATCTAGAACAAAGACAGTATCACAGCCAGGACCAGATGCTCTCCTATAACTCCAATCTCATTCCATAAGAATGAAAGAAAGGTTTCTGCACAGGTCTTTGCAAATGAATTAACAAACCAAACCTCTGCAGCTTCTGCATAGAAATCTTTAGCCTTGAAAGATGGTAACATGACAACTTCAGTACAGTTACCTCAATATTTCAGCTATTAAACACATAATCACCAAGATACACACAGATATGCACACAGGTACAGATGTCAGTATTATAACAAACAGTCCACCTACATTCATAGATGCAGACCGAGCTTCAAGTCTCTGCTACACATTTGAGGATGGGCACTGACCAATAGTCTCTGCTTTACACCCCTTGAAGCTGAGCTGACACGTTCAAGGGAGGTGCATATCACAAGCAACAGCCTTTGAGGATGATCTGGAATAAACAAAGTAATGCTGATATTCCCTCACTGCTTGTTTATCTTTCCATTTTTAAATTTAAAAAAAAAACAACATTAAACCAGACTTGCAAGGAGGATAAGAACCTAATGCAGTAATATAACAAATAAATTTTGTATCTCATCTTCCTCCAGCACAATATAGAGGCTGGTTCTTCCTGAAGCAAGAAGAGAGGCATTTTCGGCAGAGGTCCATTGGTGTGCACACACAGCTGGCATGCCTGCTCCTGCCCCCATTCCTCCAAATGAGAGCTGTGGTCTGTTTCAAAGAATCTTGTCATCATTTACCAAAGGTGAAAGCCACCCCTCCCTTTCAAGAACAATGGTTTTGATGACAATTCAGTCCAAAAATCCAAGCCCAGAGTGCTGGTCACTGCTTTGCCTTTTTCACAATGGTGCCAACAGCTGATATGACTGTAGTTTTGGATCCACTTGCACTGGTTGTCACTGTGACAACACCTGGCAGTGTTGCAGTAGTGGTGAGGATGGTGGGTTGAGCTATTGTTGTTACAGGGATGGCTGAGTCCCATTTGCTCTTCCTCTTCTGTGCATCTGCAAGTGTCATCAAGGAAACAAGGATTAGCATTGTGTTAAAAGTTGCACTACATCCTTCCTAACAGTCTGTCTCATCAACTCTTAATATACTCTGCTTGACTAGACAGCTTTCCCCCACATTAATTCAGCATGCACTACTTATAAACGTTGAGGAGGAAAAACAACCTTATAATCAGGAGTCAAACTCCACATGTGAACTCCAGCCAAATGGGAGACAGTTGACTCCTTGCCCCAAAGCATGTTTAATTTTAACAGAGCACACATTATTCAGTTGCTCCAGCACGGGCACAAGACACACTCAGTCTTTAAGGTTTTAAAGGTTTCCAGTTTAAAAGGCAGGCTGAAGGCAATAGAATAATTTTTCAGTCTTCCAGTTCTCTACAGATGCATCAGTCCTAAGAACACTACAACTACAGACATCATAGGATATTCCTGACACCCTAATAAAGCTCTGCACTAACTTGTCCCTAGGCTTCCAATCTAGAAGGACAGCCATAGGATATAGGAACTAGAGGAAAGCTAGTCCACTAACAACTGGAAAAAACACTGTCTTGTATTATACCATCAATAAGGAGCTCTCAGGGTTCCCAGGAACCCAGGAAGCATGAATCCCAGCATTACTGCAGCTTAATACATATGGATGCAACTGGCCTTTACCTCCAACCGTAGTACTGGCTGTTGTGGTTGTTGTAGAGGCAGCACTTGTTGTTGTGCCCTTCTTAGTGCCAGTCACAAATTCAATCTGGGAAAGGAGACACAAATAGGAGAAAGGGGAGAAGATAAAAAAAAGTCTTAATTTATATGGCTTTTATTGTTTTGTTTGTTTGTTCGTTTTTAAGAGAAAAAACCCTACAGAAATTAAGCTACAGCCTTAGCATCATGAGACATTGGTCTCAGAGCTGGCTGGCACACAGGAAGAAAGATGTAGACCCTAGGTCAAAGAATCCTGAAGCCATAATCATCAAAGTTCCCTGTGTCTCAGCTCTTAAGTCTGGTATGATAATCTGTCTGTCAACTGTTACAAGCATAGGAAAAACTCAGAAAGCACAGATCCTGGTATTAAAATGTGTGTTTATGTCATTAGGAAACCCTGTGCTTTTTCCTTTAAAAAACTTGTAGGACAAGTCCCTACCTGCATGATTTACTGCAACTGCATCATAGCAAGAAACCTAGCAACAAGAGTTACAACAGCATGCAATCCCAATTTTCAAAACTGCAGATACGGGCGAGGACATAATCAGATACCTGGGTTACTGTGCCAAAAAACAAAACATGTAGCAAGATACAGCATGCACAACAAGAAAAGAACACCTCCAGGTACTGAGTTTTAAAGGAGCCTTCTGCAGTATTAGAAAGCAGCCTCTGAGTTTCAGCTAAGTTTCAGTTTTCCAATGCCAGCTGCTAGCTAAAACAACACCACTGCAGGACAGGAATAAGATCTTCCAAAGCTCCTGTGTTCTTTCTAAGGGTACAAAGAATGTATGTTTTGTGACAAGTCCAGACACCTCCATTTAAATTCAAAATATGCCCGATATTTCTGGATATTAGAAGCAAGACAGCAATATCAAAGAGAATAGAAAGCCCATATTCTCTTGCAATGAGATATGATGAAGAAATTAAACTACTAGACTACACCACCAGGCAAAGTGCCACAGATTAAGAAAAAGGCCATTCTTTATGGAATATCTTGTTTGTAACTGGCTTATGGTATACCATGTTATGAACTCTGGCTTAAAAATGCTGACAAAACAGGAACAAAGCCAGTGGAATAAACAGCCTAGAGAAACAGACCTATAGGGAAGGACAAACAACTTCATCTGCACAGCTTGGAAAAAACATTGTGCAAGAAAAGACAGAACCAGGCAAAATGAAGCATGGAGTGTAGTTCACAAAAAGCAGCAAGTAACAAAATAAAACTCAGCAGGGAAACAAACAAAATCCCTGCATCTCAGTCTCTCTTGGCTTTGAATAGCTACCTTTGTGCGCTCCTTCTTGGCCTTCTCCAGTTTGTCCATTTCAATCTTCTGAGCTTTTGCTAAGAAAGAACAGAAGTTATAAGCAGCACTAGAAACACTAAAGAGCTACCATTGTCTCACACATTCCCCTTCATAAGCAATCAAAAATTTCAAACTATAAAAACTACTAAAACTACTAAAAATACTTTTTTTTTTAAAAAAAAAAGCATTACTGCTCAAAACTAATGATTTCAGATGAAAACACTACAGAACTAAATTAAATGCTTCCCAGACTGATGAAGCATCAACAACATTCATGCACACCCAACCAGAATGACAGAGTTAAAAAGCAGCATGTGATGCCTTTCATTTCTAAAGGTGAAGGCTGCAATGCAGTTCGTTAACTACAAAACACAAAGAGCTAAATTAGGACAGGAAGAAGAGAGATTTCCTGGAATTACCTAGTGCCTCATAATACGAATCCTCTGACCAGCCATGAGGATCAAACATGTCCTAAAGATGAAAAATAAAGTCATATTAGGGTTATATGGTCTTATATATAAAAACCCAGCTCAAAAATGAATATGTTTTGCTTTTCACTGACATTATTAATTACTGATGATTTCTTATATTCCAGTGACACAAAGTTTATATCAGAGCTTTTACAGGACTGTGTTATGTTGTGAATGAATAAACAGCTTTGAAATCAAAAGGATGTTGGGAGTAAGATGTGCATTCTTCTGCTGTTCAGCTTCCATTCCCCAAAGGAGTACACACTTCAGCAGTTTTTATTCAGAGCCATTAAAGCAAAGTTGGAGGCACTGAGGCTAGTACCACGTGAAAACATTCACTTCAATACAGAGGATCAGACAAAAGTTCCCTTGCAGGACCTCTAAACAAGCAGGCTAAGGAAAGTCAAGTGCAAGAGCTCACAGCCCTACATCAGCTTTCACCCATTATCTTGACAGGTAAAATTACTGCATCTCACCTTTGGATAATTTGTACCAAGTTCATCAATTGAACAGAACTGGATCAGCTTTTCATAGATACTGAAACAAACAAACAAGAAAAAGGACAGAGTTTACTTCTAGCTCATCCATCCTTCTCTAAACAGAAATGTTTCAGCTTTTCAGTAAAAAAAATTGTCACCTCTTGATGTTAAGAGTAAAACTAGAGTCTGGGCAGTTATGCTTGCTGCAGTGGATGCAGCATGCTGTTAACTACATTATTTCCCACTTCCCTCAGGTCAATCTCCCAGTGTCCACAGCAGACAATTTCCAAAATATTTCATCCAGAGTATCCAGTACAATACTTGAAAACCTGTTTGAAATGCTAATCTAGTTATTGCACCAAAGAAGAGTTTTACTCTTTTAGTTACAATCAAATGATGTCTCTCAATTCTGTAAGCAGTAACACTTCTTGCTCAGGATCCTGTTCCTGCTACAGCTCCAACAAGGAGGAGAACTCCTTGATTTTGCTATGTGGTGCTTTGGAAAAGATGGTGGCTCACCTGGGGTTGCGGAATTCCTTTTTCCTTTGAATGATGTAGTTCATATCCATGCCCTCTTTTATTTTCCTCTCATACAGCTTTTGAATCTTATCCTAAGGGAAGAAGATTACAGGGTGAGCCAATACAGACAGGGTGAGTGTTCCAGCTGACTATCAAAGCATACATGTGGAAACAAGACAACTGAACCAGTGACCTCCTTGCACGCAGAAAGGATTCCACCTCTGCCCTAAGGCCAGGCAGTTTGGTTAGTACAGAAACTTCCTGCTTTAAGGTCTGACAGCATCTTCTCCATGCTTGCATCTTTTCCATGCTTGCGTGGGTAAGGCACTTTCTGAAGGCTTCACTGTTTAAAGGTTTGTATTCAAGGCATTAGTGCACGCTCCTTCCCTTCAGTAGATAGCAGAAACTAGTTCCAGGAGGGACAGGTGAAGGCTCTTCCACAACATAAAGAGGCCATTCCACACCTCTTCAGACTCTGACGGACACCTGAAGATCAGCTGCTGGGTCACACTGTGCAAAAGTCAAGGCTCATGCTTATGACTGAGAAACAGGTGAGCAGAGCTGAGCTGTGCTACAGACACAACGTTATCAGCAGGTATTGCTAGTGGGGAATGCTGGCAGCCAAACATTCTCAGGAACGCACTTTAAATCCCTCCTGAGAATATCTCACTGAAGTCATAAGCCAGGACTTCAAACTTTCAAGATGGGAGAGGTGAGTCAGTTTTCCTTTGTTGCTTCTAGATAAGCTGCTTAATGTCTTCCTCTGTACAGGGAGTTAACTGAAATACAAAACTGACTGTTGTCTAAGAGTTTACTAACTGCTGAATAAAAGAGAACTGTTATAAAACTAGTATTTCAACCAACATTAGAAAAAGACTTTCACAAGATAAATTTTCACCAGGTCCTTGCAAAATCAGCATGAAGAAGTCACAGTCCCCATATGCAGTGCACATGTGGTAAGTTTGGAGGATCATCTGCAAAAAGGAGGCTAGTTTGGGGAGGTAAAATGATTGAATAGGTGTCCCTTTTTGTGTCCTTCCCTTGGATGCAGCAACACAGGTCACATTCATAATGTCCACAAATAAGAAACTAGTAGGTCACCTTCATAACAAGGAATATTCCCTTTGACCAAGTTCAAGGTATAGTTTATTAGGAGAAAAGCTAACAGAAGAAAAAACACATTAGCAGTAAAAGCCTGTAACATTCTGAATCTGAAGAACAATCCCATCCCCTTGCTTAAAGCGCTCTAAGATGTGGTTTGACCCTCCAACAGAGGACAAGTTCTCTCCTTTGATTTTACACTGTAAACTGCTCTCAAAGGGGAAGAAAATCTGCTTTAGTGAAGCTCTGTTCATTCCTCAGATCTAACACACTAACTCATTGATGTCAGAACAATAGAATCCTCCTACAGCATGCAAGGACAAATGGGTGTGCCCAGGTATACTGAGTGGAGAAGAAAGCATGATCTGGATTGGTGAGTCATTCTGAATCACCATTCCATGTTAGCAACTTACTTTATAGAGCATTCCAGAAGTGATTCTTTACTTATATTCTGGGCAAATAACTGCAGTTAAATCTCAAATGAATGGCAGAAAACAGCAGTCAGTGCTTTCATTTGCCCTCTATTGGGAATAGGAAAACAGAGCAGGAGTGCTTTTGCCCTTCTCCTAGGACAGGATTGTGTTATATAGAGAAGACTACATAATTCTGCTCAGACCACAAATCAAGGCCTGCCATCAGCAAACACTCAGACCAACTCCTTTGCGAACACTGCAAGCTGGATACAGGGAATACTCCAAGCAGACATTACCATTTCTGCCCCAAAAGTCAGAGCCAGAGGCTCAATTAGTAACACTGCAAGTCTCAGAGCGGTATAAATCAAGTCCCTAGAAACATTTTTTGTTAATTAACATCCAACTGATGAATAGTCTTACATCACAAGTAAGAGTTCAGACTCTCATGGAAGGAAACCATGACAGTTTTGCATCAATTAAGTTGGTTATTGAGATTACTTGGATGTAAACCAGTGAAAACATGCATCTGTTTTCTTTTGCTGCGTCTGGGTTACTGGCATGTCCTCTGAATGCTTATCATCCAGTGACATGTAGGTGGAAAAAGAATCTAGTCAATGCTGCCTCAACTATTCCAGTAAGGGGATTCTCAGCTCCACGCAGAATAACAATGATTTGTTCTCTTCTTGAGAGCTGAATTTGCTGAAGTCAGAGGACAGCAGCCTTCACAGTAAACTTTACTTCTGTATCGCTGATGAGATTAAGAGCCATCTTAAAATATGACCTACACAGACTGTGGAAAAAGTTAGCTTTAAGCTAATGTGAGATTCCAAAAAACTAACAAAATAGTGCATAAATTCACTGTGTTAGAAACTCAGTGATAATGCAGGATTTTTGACTTATGGAAAAAGACTGAGCAGAATTCCCAAACATCCCCCCCCCCTTCTTACTGAAATATTTTCCAACTTTCCACTTTCTATACCAACCTGCAAGTGGTTAGAACATCTGCCAGGAGGCTCAGGAGGGATTCTGATCTCATCTGGAGACATGTTCCGAACTCTCTCTGAAAAAGAAGCTGTAGAGAGCAAACCAAGCATGAGTTCTGGTACTATGGAAGGGACTTTAAGCCATGCAGATCACTGAAATGTTCTATGCCCTTGCTAGTATGATGAACAGAGAAACAGAATGGGTAAAGGCAACTGGAATTATGTTAACTGGTACTTGTGGAATTTTCAAAGCACTGAGCAGGAAGCAACTAACCTAAGGCTAAATCACTGGCAGAATAATACAATGCTTGCTTCATCAGTGTCTACCTTATACTGTGGCTTTGTCCTTCATAATAAGGTTTGAAGTTGTATTCTAAGGTGTCTTTTTTTTTTTTTTTTAACCTCAAAACACATCTGGGAAAAGCAAGAATACTCCCCACTCCAGCTGGGATTGTTGGTAAGAACCCCAAAGGCAAAGGATCTGCAGAGGAATGTAAGTATATTCATGGAACATTTATCTATCACCCTCCATTGAGCACAACACATCAAGCTCTCCACTAATCCAAGTCTTCTGTTTAGAGTTCAAAGTCCTGCTCAAAACAGCCCAGATAATCTTGAGGTAGTCTGATTCTTTGTGAGCATCCTATGTGTGTCAGTACCACAGAATGAACCTAAAGCAGCCTGGCTCATTGCCATTTTTTGGGACATTACCTGTTTGGATCCTCTTCCCTTCAAGACCTACCTACGTGAACCAAAATGGTTCAAGAAGCAAACAACCCTCACCAAACCTGTAGGGAGTTAACCACAACAAACTGCATTTCATCTTTAAGTTAATATTTCCTTAAGGGACATTTTGATCCTCACTTAGAGTCAGACTATTACCAGAAAGAACAAATAGTCCTGCAGGACCAAGAACAGACCAGCAGAGTGCCAGCTTCCTACAGTTTGTGTTGGGATATACCATTACAGTACCTGATTGCTCCGTAATGATTAGTGTACAAAAACATCAGCAAAAGAAACAGTCACATTCCCTCTATTACTGGCTGCCCTCCCACTCAGTTACAGGAAACCCAGGCAGTTTTCTAGCTGAAGTCTGAGAGCAGAGCACTGTGCCACATTTAAGCCTTTGGGATTGTTTTCAACCATAATTAGTACAGAGAGTCACAGTTTGTAGTGGAAAAAAAGACCTGACACTAGCACAGCAGTTGCATCGAGCAAGTCTTTCACATTTGTGGCTCCCCAGTTATATATGTTGGAATAAAAGCTACTTGAACTGAAAAATCCAGCACACTCGAGTCCAGCTCCTTTGACTTCATGCCCAGCCGTTCCCAAAGGGCAAACACTGGCATCTGAGCACAGCATACACTTCTGCCTTCCAGCACAGACCATCAGATAGCTGAGGTTGCAGATAATCAACATTACACATGTTCAGTGCTACTACAGTTTCTGGTTCTTTTACAAAAATGTAAGAGACTATAAAGGACATCAAGGATGATATCCTTTGGGGATGCAAAGCTGGCAGACAATCATTCATTCTCTTTGATCAAGATGTTGTTGAGGGTTAAATTCTTCAGCAGCTGCTAGCAATGAACAAAAAGTGTCCTTTGGCATTTACTAAGAGGGGCCTCTATGGAGGAAGGAAACTTGCCAGAGCCCCTACAGAAAGGCAGGGAAACTCTGTGACAAGGCAGACATTTATTGTAAGTTACAGTTGCTGGTTGGATGGCATAGCTTCTAATTTAATTAGAATTTCAGGAACCCTAAGAGACAGTAGCAAATAGACAGAGGTGTTCATAATAGAAAGCACACCAGGCATCCGGAAAAGGAGAAAGCTGATTAATGGCTTAAGGGATTCACAACACCAGCAGGAACATTAAAAAGATAAAATAAAAAGGCCACAAAACAGACTTCATAAGGCAAAGAAATAACCTAAAAAGCAAGCCTGGACATCTCATTGGCTCCTTATCTTCACAGATGACCAGAAAAGCCACAAGGAAGCAACACATCTATGGGTAGGGGTGCTGTGGGCTCAAACTTGGGAAATACAGTACCAAACTTGGCCCAGAATTCTGCAAGGCAGCACATTCAGCAATGAATTCAAAGCTCCCATGAAACAGAAATGACACTGGAGGATGAACAAGAGCTTCCACTGAGACTATACATTTTTCCCCACAACTTTCCAGGTTTTAGTCTTCATTTGCCCTTTTGTTTGAGCCATGTGAAAATAATAATTTAGCAGCATTATACTGATGGGGGAAAGCATCTCAATAGTTCAAAGTGGAAGTAAGACATCTTTGGCTACAGCTTTCCCACTGTATGTGCATCATGTTCCACCTGGCAAATCCAGCACAGACATGAGCACAGGAACATTCAGCATTACTCAGTTATTTCATCACATCAGAGCCAGTTTGAGAAGCCACATCATTAGGAAGCAAAAAATGAGTTTTACCCCTTCAGGCTTATATACAGTAAGGAAGTGCAAATAATTCATGCCCTTGAGCAGTCTTCCAACTTCTTCTCCAAAGAGGTATCAGCAAGGCCAACTTCACGGCCACTTCCTACCAAGCCACTTCTGTAGAGGAAGGGGCAGCGTGGATTGTCATTCAAGAGGATCCTGGAACTTGTATGTATATCCACAGGCTCCTGTGCAAGAGATTTTGTGTTTTCCAAGTCACAAGCACTGCTTTCCATGGCTATACACTGCAGATGGTCAGCTAATGCCAAGGTGTGTCCTCGCAGGATACATCCAACTGCTTTGTATATCCTGTTATTTCAGCCCAGATCTAAGCTTTACTTTTACATGACTCAGTGGCAGTGACACTGGCTGCAGATTCCAATTGGTGCAATTTCTGGCTCGCTGCCTAGATGATCTCCACATGGGGACCTCAGGAAGTCAGCCGTTGGCATGATTAATCTCTCCAGGCACACCCAAGTTCTGGCTCATGATAAGTAAATATCTTTCTCTAATCAGATTCACGGCACAGGCAAAGAGCATTAACAAGAACTAAGGTTGTAAAACACAGGTCCCACAACTCAGGTGGGGGTTCAAGGACGTAAGGAGCCAAGGTAGTGCCATGCCAGGAACTCAAAGCATCCTACCTGCAAAGAAGGATATGGCTACTACTCATGCTCAGTTCATGCATCCTTCCATTAGCTGATCTACAAGTTAGAAGAGGAAATTCTCAGCAGAAGCAATAGGTGCTTGTAGCTTTTTGTGTTGTAAGTGCAGACAGTGATGAGGGATGTTCAGCTGTTCCTGGGCTACAGGGCCACAGCACAGCCAACTATCAATGCATACCTAGCAAACATTCAGCATCTCAGCAGACAACTGAGGATATCTGCTTGCCAGATCCTGAGGAGGCAGATGGATATAGTGCTTTCATTTAATTGTCAGCTTCAGACAGTGGGTTATTTGGCCACTATATATAAGAGTACAGAGAGATATTGCATAGCAGGGCAGAAAGTGCCATACTGTGTGCTTAGTTAATTCCAGAACGATTGCTCACAGCCCAAAGGCTATGCCAGAGATGAGCAAGAGAGCAAACAAACTCTGCTTCCTACAGATGAACACGAAGTCATAAAGAGCAGAGAAAACCAAATGAATAGAGAGCATAGGAGCAGCTGGCTGAACCTGGGGACCCTGAGATGTTGATCACTTGAGGTCTGGTAAAGCATCTTGCTTCAGTTTTCTGAATAGCGCTGCTCCCCAGGTAGGACTGAAATCTCTTGTTCCCTTCAAGGTTCACTTGTGGTTGCCTAAGAAGCAGCATGCAAGTGATTACTGGCAGTATCAGGTGCCAGATTGTCGTCTATAAAGGTTACGCTATGCAAAGAAAAAAAACACATAAAAACAAGGAAAGACCTGGAGGGGGCAATCAGAAGGGCACAGCTTTTCCCTAGAGAAAACACAAACCACTGGTGCCTGGTCTCTAAAACTGCATTCTTTGGCACTCTAACGAAGTCTGCTTGGCATAAACCAGGGTGTGTGGGTTTCTAATTTCCTGGCACCAGAACAGCCAAATCACAGGGAAGAAGTGGAGGCAACAACATACCAGTGAATCACCCATCCATGGGAGGACACTAGTTCCCTTTCTGTTCTGTGGGCTGAGAAATGCAGAAAAAGACCTGCAACTCAGCCATATTTTCTGCTGCTCTGAACACTGACTTTGTGCTGAGATATCCTAAGAGTTGGGAGAACATTTCTTCTAGTCCAAAAGGTAAACAACTATGCTGCAAAGAAATTCAAGAAGGAAAACAAACAGCATAGAAATACTGTTTTGCAAGGCTGCAGAAAACAGCAAACGTAGACACACTGTTAGCATCACGTACTTTTCAGAGTGCTACGAAAAAAACCAACAACATTGGGGCAAAAAATTATCAATAAGCATTTCACTTCTCAACCATACAGGAGTTACTGCTGCAAATCTCCCCTCACTGTCTTTCAGGCTTCAGCTACACAATCATCAATTCTGTATGAAACAAGACAACCATGCAGTTTCCTAAGTGCTCATCCCAGCTGGTTTTTGTGCCAACTTTAGTGCTCGTGTTGCACGTGCTAAGCAGATGAGGGAATAGGTCCAGCTGGGAAGCTCACAGAGGGGAAAAAAAAAGAATAAGGAAGGTGGATCAGTTGAATTTACTGCTCAGATGAACTCAGAGCACACAGACTTCAGCACTGCATCCAGTGGACGCAAAACAGAATGTTACTTTTGACAGGAGCCAGTATTAATGCTGTACCCAAGCAGCTGCATAACCATAGACTTTAATGATGGTGACGCTGAACAACAACGTCAGGTTATCTGAGAAGGGCAAACCACAAGCTTTTAATGGAAAAAGCTATTTTGGAAAACTTCTGAGGGAGACTTATGCTTCCACATACTGATATTAAACAAAATTTTAGATAGACAGGTTGAAGCAGTTATTTGCTTTGCGTCGGAAAATCTTGCACCTTTTTCCATTCAAGAATTCTAATTCTAAAAGCTCGAGCTTCCTGGGAGGGAGTGGTTTTTACATTACACTAACCAAAAGGCTTAGTGCAACAATTGCTTTTCAACTAGATAAGATATGGCCTAATGCACAGGACCTACAGAGTCCAGTTCAGCAAGTATGCCAATCTACACAAAGTTGTACCTACACAAAGCTAGCCTAAATGTTGTTCTGTGCATGCTACAATTGGAAGAAGATATGAAAGTTGTATTACAACTTTAATCCAGGCTTGTGACTTACCAGTACTGTTCCCCATTAGTATCTGACATTGTAATGCCCTCTGTGCAATTCTCAAACCTGCATGCAAGCCTTGATTATCAAGAGATACACAAGATTCAGTCTCATCTCCTGAATGGAGCATTCACTGGGATGAAAGTAGACTGACAGAGCTGTAATCTGAGTCTTCTACTTGAATGAAGAAAGATCTTAACACTACATTGCTCTACAAGCACAGAGCTTCACTCATTTGTAAAGCAGAGAATAAAGGGCAGATGGTTTTCAGATATTCCTCTGTATTTTTACCCTACATGCCATTGTCTCATCTGTGTTTCTAATGTTAATTTGGGGGCATATGAGCAGTCTGGATGAAGATCTCCATGGTATTCTGTGATAAGACTGGTTAAAGGAGTTTTCCCTCTAAAGGATGATATTTCAGTATAGGCACTGGGTGGGTGCAAAGTCTGGGCAGGCCAACTGAAAGGAACTTAAGTGCAAAAATCCAGAATGACGACTGCTTTAGGGGTCACAATTTAGCATCTAAGTATTTACTGCCCAGTATCTTATTTTACATTTACTACAGTGTGGCTGAAATACTACAGCTGAGCCTGGAAAAGCTGGCTTGGTGGGTAATTAAGTCAATTCTAAACTCCGGATTTTTTATGCTACTATCATATGCTACCATACAACTGTACAAGTAACCTCAGGAAGAAAGGGTTAGTGTGAAATAGTGCAAGCTTCAACACAAAATACAACAGCACTTTATAGCTCCACAGAGATCAAGCAGAGGTTTCTATTTCAAGCTGACTGCACTGGATTTTTCCAATAATTTTTTTCCAAATCTAATAATGATGCTGTGAATGAGATGTCACATATAATTTCCAACAACCATTACAAAGCACACAGTACGCCCAACACCTAAACACTGCTACACTGAAGTTTCTGAAGTCACAGAGCAAAACACCCATCCTCACTCCTGGTTATACCAACTCTCACAAAAGAATCTAGAAAAAGCTACAGCTTTATTGGTTTGGGACTCATCTAGAAAAACACCAACGCTACCCTTTACATCTCTCTGAAACATGCAATATATTTTCAGGCATGGTACTTTTTCCAAAAGACGACTGCATTGGAAAAATTCCACTGATATAGAAGACCAGAGGCAGTAACTCAAACTACAGTGTCGCCAGGACAGAGTGAAGATGCTTTTCTGTTGGTTTTCTTTTTTCTCTAAATTTACAAAAGGGAAAATCTAGAAGGTCTAACTTGGAAGAAAATTGAATGCTTCTGAACAAACTTACCAACTAGCTCCTGAGGATCTCTTTTCTCCAGTTCTGAGAATTCCTGGGAGAAAGGAAACAGAAACAGATTTCCATTAAAATATACTTCCAATCTAATAAGCTATGTTGTCCATTTGTTTAGAAACTTACATCTTACTTCTGAGACAAAAGAATATCAATTAAGAATGAAATGCATTTTATTAGATAATAGAGCAATGTTTGTAACATGGAAAGTCAAAGCCTAACAGGATGCACCATTTCCTTTCAAAGCTGGAGTCTAAATTTAACAGAAGAATTAGGATTTTGTTCCTTTGAGTCCCAAACACTCAGCTCCTTTTGAATTCTGAAAAAACTACAGCAACTGAAGGCTTTCCTCAAAACAGATCAGGCCATAAATTCTTCATTTTTTGGTGCCTGGCCCTTGGCACAAGCCAAGAGTCAATGTTTCAGAGCATTCACATTTGGGAAGAATGCTCTGCTGGCATGTCTGTCTTGGCTGCTGCTTTCCAGGAGCTGATCTGTTCATCCAGGAACTCCAGGGCAAACCATTGACTTGCACACTCTGTTTAGAGATCTTCAACACAGTCAGTCCTTCCTTAGTTACATTAATATAAATTAAGGCAGCTTCAATTGCAGGAGCACAGCACATGTCTGTACTGCAGTCTGCTAAGCAGGAGTGTTATGCAGGACAAGACATTTTTAAATACACTTTCACCACACTGAGAGTAACATTCAAGTATTTTGGTACTTATGTTAAGCCCCAGGGGAGCCACAAGCAATACCATTTCAGCTTCTGAAATAGAATCAGCTGTATCCTAACATTGTCCTCTTCCCCTGCCTCCCTCCCTACGACTTTTTGTGACTCACTGGACTGTGTGTCCAAAATTCCTCAGTGCCTCTGAACACAGAAGCTATTCATTCAACCTGACACAGACAAAATGCTGTCTCCTTGCTGCTTGGTAACTAGGCTCTAAATCCCCTCCTTTACTCCATTTCCAGTCAGGTGAGAGATGGATAAGGTAGGAGAACAGAGCGAGGTCAGCATCTGGGAACAGGCTGGGTCAAATTCACACTGAAAACTCACCCATTTCCAGAGAAACCAAAGCCCTCACGGAGCAGAAAAACAAATTCTTTGTGTGTCACTCGCTGCTGTATGCCATTTTTTATAATCATTCATGAAAAAAAGCACTGTTTCTCTCTAAGTATGCTTGGATCACAACAATAAAAGGCTGAAGTTATTTTAGAAAAAAGAAAAGGACACGAAGGAACATGCATCTCCTTGCTGGCCAGCTGGCAAGGCACCAGGATCCCAGCACTGCTTCCAGCCGCTCTAAGCCAACGCTCTCTATGTAACACATCAACACCTCTTCTCCTCCCAGGGTCTTCAGAACAGCAGGGGAAAAAGATAAATGAGAAACAGCATTTCAAAGCAGGACGTGCCTTGAGAAGGAGCTCTCTGGTGGGAGCACTGGATATGAATTCAGCTGCGTTCTCCATAGACCCAGCATTAAAGGGGTGAGCCTCACTTTACCACCAGGAAAATGGAGATGATTCCACATTAACTGTCAGATTATGAGGACAAATTCAGATTGGTACGGAAGTGTTGCACACAGGCTGGAGAGGTTCATAAGCTTCCCTTACATCTGTAGCTTTGTATCCAGGAGTAATATAATTACTCATTAGGCAGCAAACATTAGGTCAGAAGGCTGCTCTGCCTCCTTGGGGGAGAACTTGCTGCCTACATATTTAGGTTTTCACCTTGGTTCGAAACAGCAAACAAGTATATGGTGGGATGAAAGGAGGGCTGCCATTGTTGCAACCTTAACTGAATTACATTTTGCCAACTTCTCAATTTTTTGTTTTAAACAGACTTGAGAGGGAAGAGGAAGAAATAGACTGCTTCCCTGAGCACCTCCAGATCCCCAACCCTCACCCAGCACTGTGCTTATTGTTCCATTAACTCTCCCATCACTCTCCTGCCCAACCCATCCCTGTGCATCAAGGAGGAAAATCCCTAAAGTTGCTGTCTGTGCCAAAATCTACTTAAGCAACCCAATGGCACGGCCAAATCCGGGAGCTTTAGACATGGCTGCCCTCTTACGTGGCCTGTTAGCCACGTAAGGTATCTGCTGCATTTCTGAAGTTTGTAGAAGCCTGTTTTCAAGTGTCAGGAGCAGCACATAAGCACACAGGACGCGTGCAATAGTATTCTGAGGGATAATTTGATGGCCAAAACCTCCCCAGGTACATACCACATGTTAGACAAATCTATTCCTGAAGTCAGATGTGTTAAATAGCATGTTTTATGAATTTCTGGAATCAGTAAGTTTCCTGCAACTAGAAGTACATATTTCTTTAACATATCTTTTAATCTTAGAGCTACAGCATGAGCCCGCTCCGTGTACAACAGGCCAACTAAAGCCAACCCTCTTAAGCTGCTGCTGTGTATTTATCTGCCTGCATCACCTACCCTCATTCCACCACAGCACTCAAGCAAGTCCAGTCTATACATCCTCAGGTCAAAGTTAAGACATTAGAAGCCCTAAAGCAACATCAAACAAAGGAGAACAAGCTTGCTAACATTATAGCCACACCTCACTGCCCAGAGGATAAGAATTTTGCTTACTGACGAGTTTCACCCACTGCTCCATCATTAGCAAGCTGAAGACATCAGCACAACTTTTCATTAAGTTGGATTGCTTTCAAGCCTCCCAAATGCCTTCCAAAAATAAAGGGTTGACCGACTCATCCTACAGCATCTGTTCACTTCGTTTACTGTCCAACACCATAGCAAGGCAAGTACCAACAGCATGACCACAGACATACAGCTTGGCAGACATGAGGTTTAAGAAAAGTCTTGTTCAAACCTCTCAGCATTTGCTGAAGATCCAGGAATTAAGAACAGTCAAACCTTTGGTTGAGTAACACTCCCAAAAAGATTCCTTACACTCTCCCTGGCTAATATAAGTCTGGGACAAACAATGAATCTAATGAGTTGATCAGAAGAAGAGCCAGAATTAAAAAAAAAAAAAAAAACCACCACATTTTCTGCAGATCAAATCCAATATTGTAGTTCAATGAGACACAAAAATCAGTAAATGGGGGTAATGAAGTACAATTAATACTGCAGAGTTACATTTTAGTTGTGAGAAGGAAGATATATACTATGCACAGATAAGAAATTTCTAAAGCAATGCCAAGGCTTTTAAACAACGGAACATTTAGAATATAACTGGACTTGGAGAAACTATCTACATCCATTCAGGGCAAGTTTATCTCTTTATAGATTGCTACTTCAACATCCAGTCCTATATACCAGTATCTCATATGAAGATAGCTGAGTCGTTCCAAGATTACATCAAATCTCTCCATCAGTCAGCCTACAAAAGCTATTAGAGCCCTCAAGTGTCCCAGAGCTCCAGACATTACTTACTGGCTTCTATTCTATTTGGATCCTGATTATTAAAAACATAACACAGTTAAGACATCACTGGCAGCCCTTTCCAGTACTGCACAGTCTTCACAAACCCAATCTCTGAAGGCTGTATAGGAACACTTCTGAGTTGACTTTAGCAGCCAGGCTCTCACAACTTGCACAAAGTCAGCCTGGATGCATCAATTATATTGAAAATTATCTCTAACATCATTGAAATACAAAGCCCATGCAAGAAAAAGGCGTTCCCTGCTCATTCTTTCTCTAGCCTCTTTATTCCATCTAGTATTACATGATGACCCCTAAGAAAGGCTAGACTAAGATTAAAAAAAAAAAAAAGCAGTATTGCATTTTTCTCTCCACATACTCTGCAAGCTCATTTCATTTTGCAACCTGGATTTCACAAGATCAACTGATAAAGGGCCTAAAGGCAGATGGCCCTGCTCCAGCAGACTGACTGCACTTAGAGAAGGGATGCCACAGCAGCTCAGTTCCAAGTTGGGAGAGGACTTCAAGACAGCACAACAAGCAGGAGACAGATTCCTTTCCCTTGATCCAGACACTAACAAATGGCTGCCTTTGAAGAGCATAAACTGCTAAGGACAAAGTAGTAAAAAGTTTAACATCTGACTGGCCAACCAAGATAAGTCACAATTTCTGTGCACTTAAGAGTGATTCTGCACACCATAGATATACCACCTTGCTGATGGCAGGAAACAGTTACTGTAGCACTACTCCTGGACACAGTCAGGAAAAGGTTTGCAATTTCCATCACTACCCCAGACAAATGCTTTCTTCAAGCCCTGGGCAAGACAATGCAGCCTGTGAGATCCTAGCTGATAGGAATCCAGTCTGACAGTTAGGTTTTCAAGATTTATAATCAGTTAAGGAAGAACAGTGAGCAGAAAGTGGGCGTGCATTTGCACAGGAGGAGAGCAACACTTCGGCTTATGACTACATCTCAGTGTGGTGAGATATGGACCATCTTCTCAATAATACAGTGTTTCCATTCAGCTACATTAAAAAAAATAAAAGCCTCTACTCAGGTTTCATGGAGAAGAAAAACAACCACAGTCCTTGCAGTGTTAGAACAGAGATCAACGGAAGGAAACAAAAACAATATGAATCTGAGACTGATGAATTCGAGTTTGGAAAGCCTTGCCCAGAACAGCTTTATTTAATGGAAAGAATGAACCAACTTACAACAATGCTTGCTAAATCCTTCCTGAAACAAGATCCATAAGTCCAGAACAAAGCTCACATTGGACATAACCATTGGCAGTAACTGTTGCCAAAGGGTACAAATCCAATTCTCCATAAAGGCAGTTGCATCTGCAGGTTGTTAGCACAGGTGTACTTCAAACTATAAGAAATGGTTGAGCAGGGAGACAGGGAAAAAAGATAACTTAAAATGATCACCTTCAGTTTTGAGTCATAAAAAAGTGGAAACATCAGTGCCAGATTTGCCACCACTCAATTGCTTTCCCAGACTTGCAGCCAACTTAGCACTGCAGCTTCTTTTTTCCACACTCTTCCAGTTAGTATACATTTTTTTTAAAAAGTAGTTAGAAATCTTCCAGTCACCCCCCAACAACATATTCTTTTTCCAGAGATGCTGCTGCACACAAACA